GTAGAATCCATGACCCCAATAGGAGCTGGCTCTGACTGTAGAATGAGCTGAAAGTCGGAGAAAAGCCGTATTTATACAGTGGATGACGTCACAATGCATAGGTAAGCATATTTTTTGCACACGGCCCTAAACAAACTTGACTCGCTGCCAAGTATTTACCTGTGTAGTCAGCATAAAAAAAAACGTAGGTTAAACGTATTTTTTGTACAGGGCCCTTACAGATGATGCAACAGGTATAAAAGTCGCTGCCAAATTAGTAGTAGCAGCGTAGTGAATCGTAGTAGTAGCAGCGTATAGTGTAATGTAAACACAGTGTAAACACACCCCCGTATTTAGGGGCTATATGTACTGAATTGACCCAGCTATCCCCCACAGGGGCTGCACTCCCTTGACCCGCCTATCCTCCCACAGGGGCTGCACTCTATTGACCCGGCTATCCCCCCTCAGGGGCTGCACTCCGTTGACCCGCCTATTCCCTCAGCCCCAAAAGTGCACTCAGTTGACCCGCCCGGCCAGACGGTTTATACTACTTACATGAAATTAATTATATATTTTGTGATCCATGTTCATTACCATTTTCAGCTCTTATCTTGCATGTTTTGATTCTTTTAATAGTTGCTACATAAGCCATTACCTGAGATGATTTTCACAGCCCTTGCGTTTGATAGAAGTGGATATACATGTATAGATGCTTAGCCAATCAGACACTAGGCTTGCGAATATGGTGAGAACCAGTTCAAATTATAGTTCAAAACAAATAAACTAACTTTGATTTTATTAATTCGTGTCTTTTAGCATAAGATTAAAAAAATATTGCAACTACATGTATGCCAAGTAAACAACATTTAAAGGTTTATATTCTTAACATGCTTAATTTCCATATATTTCAATAATTTATAACAATGACTTCTGAAAGGTAATCTAAACATGCTAACTACACGGGTAATCGGGTATGTATAATTATTTTAAATCAAAAAGCTATAATCTTCTATGAAGTATACGTGCATTTTACAGGAATCCGGATGCTCACAAGATTTAAGACAAGAGCTGTATGAAAAAAAACTGGTAAGATTTCTTAATTATTTTCTTAATCAATAAAATCAGATGAATTGAAATTACATTATTTTTCAATGTAAGTCAGGAATTGAGCTTCAGCTCTAGCCTTTTCATTTTAGCTCACTTGAGCCATTTTAAGGCCTAACTGAATTTTTTGATCAGTGTCACAGTCTGGTGGTTGTCTGTTGTCTATAAACTTTTCATATTTTTACATTTATCAGAATTAATCCTTATTTGAAAAAAAAATTGCAAGATAATGAATTCATAATCTACAGTAAACTGATCTGCCAAGTAGAAAGAACCAATTGTTTTGTAGAGCTTTAGTTTATTATTTGTCATATATTTATATGGATATCATTAATGATACATCTTAATGGTCATCTCCTCTTTCAGCAATTGTGCAAGGAAAGTTTGAAGTGTCTGTTGGAATGATCAACATCGAACTTGCTGAGCATTCGTACTAAAAGTGAATCCGTTCGTGACGCCAATTATCTGTCAACCCTCTATTGCAAATTTCATGGGATATCTGTGAGGAAGTGATTCTATCAACATGTCAGAAGTTTTGGATCTTCCACAATTGGGATCTTTGGCACATACATTGGGGGAAAATAGCAACTGTTGATTTTATGGGATCTTTGTATCAATGTAGTTATGTGGTACATATATTTTTGCATTTACTACATGTGTTTGTCACTGTAGTCACTAACTTTGTACAGTAAATTTACATGGGCCACTGGCAGTTTATTGTAAATGTTTATCCTGCTGAGGTTGCAATGACCTCTCCCAATCCTTGGCCTATGTCATTTAATGAATCTTACCTCTTATTTTTAACACAAAATGCAGACTTTACTTTACTACATACATGTACCGGTATATCATACCTTGATTATCATGAATTTAACCAAAGCGATCCTCCAGTAATCATATTTTTTTTGGGATATTTTTGTTAATAACCTTTGATATAAAATACTTTGAAGTTTCAGTGAGAATACATACATTTAAAAAGTGTGCTTATATTGTACGTCCGAGAGGTATATGCTATTATATTTGTCTCAAAAACATTGTAAAAGAAACAGTGATTTTTTTATTTTGCAAATATAGATTTGATCTATGAAAATTTGTGATGTTATCAATTTTTTTTTGTAATTATTTGGTACTAATACAGTTTCCATTTTATTTTCCTGGAATTCCACGGATTTTCATGGAATTTCTTAAATTTACAAATAATCTGGAATTCCACGGATTTCCTCCGCAAATGTCTATTCTAGCATTGTTCCGCTTTTTTCCAGGCTAGATTTAAAATTCCATACCATTCCAGAAAAAGTTCCGTCCCAATACTCTCAAGAATTCCGTGTAATTCTGCGGAACAATATATATACGTGCAATTCCATGAAATTTGATATGGAATTCCACGGATCTTGCGGAAAATCTACATTAGGGTACTTGCGTGGATTTTTTTCTCATACTTTTGGATATGTTATTTTATTATGTGAATCACTCAATTTTACGGCTGCAGCAGTGCAACTCTCCGAAAAAAAATGTATTGACAGAACGGTCTATCAATCTATTTTTTTTTTTCGGAGAGCTACATGTACAGTTTTGCAGCTATTAATTTTAATTTTGATTTTACATTATAACGTGACGTCGTGATCCGACTTGTCGGATCACCACACTGGATTTTTACACGCGCAAGAAAAAAAAATCATATGCCTGCGTAGTACATCAGTTTCAGAGAGTGGTGATATTGATTCAGAAAACCAGTGTGATGATCGGAAATTTGGATCACGACGTCATGTCACGACTGCATAAAATCAACAGTAAAATTGAGTGATAATAAACATAAATATCAGTTTTTTGTTTTTGATATTTGATTTATTTGCCATAAATATTTAAATTGAAAATTCTGTAAAATTTTATTAAAAGCTACTTAACTTCTAATAGTTATAGTCATATTGAAATTTTGCCTCAAAAAGAAGCTTAATCAACAATCATTATTCTATTTATTGCTTTTTTTAAGTTTTAAGTCCCAACTGCTACTTTTCTCTTTCTTTGTTATAAGTACAAACCTGTAGAGCTACAGTTTCAACAGACACTTCTGGTGAGTGGAATTTGTGGCATATAAATTAATCTCATTGTATAAGTTTTCATAAAATCTAAGAGAAATTATTTAAACATGTTCAAGATTAGTAGAAAATGTCTTAACTTTAGATAAAGTTGTCACTAACAATTAGCAAATGAAACCAGTATACATTTTTTTCTTTATTTGTTCCAGGATTCGATGTAAATTGTCAGCTGGTCCGAGGAATTCTACTGAATGGCGTCGACGCACCAGCCAGATGCCTCTTTCAAAACATATGCATGGTTCAGTTCAGTGGGCTCTTTGGGTGTCCGTATTGCTATACCCCGGGAAAATCTGTAGACAAGGGACACAACATGGAAAGTCCAAACGGTCACCATGAGCTTAGAACCAACAATTCCCATGTGCAAAATGCAGAGGCGGCGGAGCGAAACAAAGGAACAGTTCAAGGTGTGAAGGGACTTGCATGGATTTCCTATACCTATCATTCTTTGAGGAATTGCTGTGTACTATATGCACTGTATTCTTCTATGTGTAAACTTCCTTCTGTTTTAAGTTTGAAATGTCTCTATGGAATTCTGTCCCCAGACCAATTTTTTCACTCCTGGTGTATGCCACTTATATTCTTCTTCAGGAAAAAATCACATTGAAAGACATTCATCAGAACAAGAGAATACTGTTGGAATCGTGTTGAACATCCCAGCCCTGTATGGTGACAGGTATGCAATTTCCAATGTCCATTTCCTTCGTCATCTGACAGAGTCGTTGATCAGGGTCCCCTGTAGTCCACATCATGTTTCTACTTTGAAGACTTCAATGAGACGGTTGTTCCATGGGACTCAAGGAATCAAGAAGCAATTTGTATGTATGTGTCCATCAATCTCTCCCAAGTATGGCCGAAACATTACGGGAGGGAAGCTGTGAACAAGAGCTTTTCAAAAGAATGATGGACAAAAAACATCAGTCAACACAAGAAAGAATAAGTGAAAAGTTGTTTGTTGTTGGTGCATACCATAGCCGACCAATGTCAACAGAGAAGCAGCATGCAATTTTACTAGTGGGTGGAAATTTACAGTCTGTTATCTTTTTCAAAAGACTCGATGCGCATCAACAAATTGTTCATTGTGGAGTACAGATCCACGTTTAGAAGAGACAATTGAGTGATTCACTTTAATGAAGATAGCTTTGGAAGAGTGAATAGTTTTGTTCAACATACAACTCTGTTCACCACAGTGTAATGAGAACTGTTGTGGTCAATCTTTGTGCCTTGGTGAAGGAGATGAACAGAACAGTTGAAGAACAAGACAACATCCCTCGCAGACACATCCAACAGACACATGGTTGCAGTGAGACCGAGTTTGCATTGAGAACGACTTTACAGCAGTTAACGTTAGAGACATAACTGATGTGTGCGTTTGTGATACCATTAATGACAAACTGTGTTTTGTGTCAGTCCTCCCGAACAAAGTGGAGAAAGAATAGCAAAATTTGGATCGAATTCATTTACAAACTGTGAAAAATGGTTATCGTAAGTGACAAACTGTGCTTTGTGTAAGTCCTCCGAAACAAAGTGGAGAAAGAATAGTAAACTTGAAGGAAACATATCTTTTTCTTTTTGTTATCTAATTTATTTTGCCATGAAAGTTTAAGGTAGTCCGATCCTCAGGTTTATAAAATTAGCAGGTAAGTAACCAAAAGTACTCATAAAAGTATCTCTGAATCCACAAAGTTATGTAGATTTATCCACAGGATTTCTTAAAAGCTAAAAATTAAAATGCATCATATTATAAAGGAAAAAATGTCAGATCTCCAATATTTTTGCAGAAAAAGCGAATTGGAATATCAGTAATGAATTCTCTAATTGCAAATTGATCAACTTATATATTTTAGGTTAAAAAACGATAGGCATCCAGGTATTCAGAGAAATTGCCATGATTTTTATATTTATTTGGTATTTTTTGTCTTCTATTTCTGTCATATATTCTACAATACATAGTGTATAAGGCTTTTGCTATCATTGCAAGACACCACAAATCACTCTTTAAATCATATCATGCTAATAAGCATTAGTATCTAAGGCTGGATTCAAGAAAATATTATTTCTCTAAAACTGTATTCATTTTTTCCCTTTAATAGGCTATAAAAGTCAACTTTTATAAGACCTTTTCTAAGACTTCCAAAAACCTTGAATCTTATAAAGATGAACATAATGAAAATTGTTGCATGAAAAAATTTCACTTTCAAGCTTCACTTTGATGCATTTCAAATAAAATTTAATTTTTGGAGTTATCCTTCCTGGCTGAGGATCGGATATCCTTAAGCTCATAAAAGTAAATTTTAAGTACAATGAAAAAAGACAGAGTCCAAATTAGGTTAAATAAGTACAGTGAAAAAAAAACTAAGTCCAACAAAAGTACAAAAAAGGTCATTGGCTTTCAGTCTACCTGGCCGAGTACCACAAAAGTATACTTTTTTAAACGTTTTTCTAAAACTCAAAAAAAAATTAGCAATAAAAAAGTAGCATAAACGTATTACTTTCTGTACTTTATTTTGGTTTTCAGATTTTTAGTATGTTAAAAAAAAAAAAAAGTTGATAACAAAATTGTTTTAAAAAACGAAAGAAAAAGTGAGCAAGCTTGCATACCCCATGCTCCCCAAAAAGTTTAAGAGCTGAAATTCTCTTTACTCAAAATATGACCAAAAATCTAAGTTGAAAAGTGCGAAAATTTCCCGAAAAAAAAATGAAAGATTCGAAATTTCCAGGTAATATGCACATCTACACATTGTGTTATAAATATCTGCAAAGTTTGAAGAAATTCTGTGCAGCGGTTTATGAGGAGTTGCGCTGACAAACTGTTTAGCTCTATATTCCAAGTATGGCCAAAAATCCAAGTCGTAAAGTGAGGAAATTCCCGGAAAAAAAAAGAAATCGGAATTTTTCTCTTCCTTCTCTTCTCTTCCGAGATCTTTTCTCGTTATAACGATATAGTTAACTCGTAATAACGAGATCTTTTCTTGACCTGTAAATACTTACAGCTTCCTGACTGGATGAAAAAAATCTGACCATTCCTCTCCCTGTTGATAATGTACCCGGTACTATCTTTGTAAACTATTGTCTTACTATCTTTCAGGCCTCTCTATCATCTAATCACCCTACAAACCAATATAAGCACATCAAAGTGTATCATTTAACACTATGCTAGGGGAAAAACTTGAAGTACGATTTACCAAAAGACCATTGCGAGGATTAGTTGTAGAAGTTAGTTGTGTAATGGGAGAGGAGAAAATGCAGCGGACCAGACCGGGATTCGAACCCGGGCCCCCTGAAACTCCGGTCAGGTGCTCTACAAACTGAGCTATCTGGCCACCGGCGATCGAACCCGGCTGACCGCCACATTCCTCCCTCCTTAAAGGTCTGTGGCCCTCCATAGACCCCAACCCGGGCTCATCCCTGGCAGGCCTCTCACCTTTCAATTCCAGGGCATGGCACGGCGCAGACCTGCCTACCCTTCCGCTTTTGGCGTAATTTTTCCACATTTTACCACAAAATTACGCTATTACGCCACTTACATTAATTTTACGCTTTTGATATATTTAAAATCCATAAAGAAAGTCTAAATTTAGAGTCAAAGTACGACCTGCTAAAATGAAATGAGAAGTTCTAATAATAATAGAGGACTAGTTCGATAACGTACATTAACTATTAAATGATATTGCAATAAGTACATCCATTTCTATGCTCAATTTAGTTTATTTTAACGTTGCTTAGAACAAGATAAGAGAAATGTGAGTGTTAAAAAGATACAATACATTGTTTTTATGTACTATTTGTGTAAACATGCAAACGCAAGCTTTCAATTAATTGATTTGATAGTTGATACAAACTGACCAAATGCTGCATTAAAGGTGTACGGTTGGTTTGAGTTTATTATTGGATACTGGTATT